AAACCTCCAGAACAATAGAAGCTACGCGAAGTACACAAGCAAAGCTACAAGCCTAAAAAGAAGCAATAACAATACATAAAAAGAAAGCACACGGTTCTTTAGGTTATAACAAACATTAAGAGACTTGAATGGGTCGATTCAGAGTTCGTATGACCAAGATATGGTCATCCGAAGTTTAATGCTGTTACATGGAGATTTACGAATTATTGTAATTAGGCTTTGCAACTATAAAACATGTGTAAGCGCTAGCCCGGAAAAGACAGGAAGGCTGCGCTATTGACATGCGGACCCCACATGTCAACCTAAGGGACCACGGTAGACCGAGTACACAGAGACGGTCCACGGGTCGACGGAAGCGGATCCCGTGTGTCAACCGAGGCAAGTGGCTGACAAACGGACTCCACTAGACACCACGCGGGATGCACACGTGGAAACCACACGGCTACCGAGCGGGCACACTAACAGGTCACCACACGCACACATGAACGACTGCCCACACCGATACACGGGTACCGGGGCCGACAACCGCACAACGGGCATGGGCGACACCGAAAGGACGAGGACGGGGCAACGAGGGAGAGGGATCCTTACCACCACGCGACGAGGCGTGGGAACGGAGACAGCTCAGGGACGACAGAAGCAAACGGCGAGGGAACGACTTCGGCGGCTATCCTTGGACGAAGGCGAGACGCGGCCGGCGCAACGCTTGACGATGCGGAGCTGAGGACGAAGACGACGACGGGGCTGCAGCAACCTTGACGAAAGGCGGGCGACGAACAGCACGGCTTGACGGAGGGACGAATACCACGACTACCAGGAACAACGGGAGGACGACGACGAAGACCGGCGGGGTTCGGATGGAGGGGAGGCGAGGCCGAGGACGACCTTGCCACTGCGATGCCGAAGGTGGAGACGGCGACGTCGGCTGGCGCATTGGCACGGTGGAAGGGGCTGCCGGAGTGGGTGCCGACGTGACCGAAGGAGGGGCGGCGCGGACGACGGTGTTCCGACGAATCTGAGGGCAGGCCGGGGCGGAGGGCGACGCTACGACGTCGACGAAGGAGACAACGGCGTTGATCGGCGTACCGGCGATGAACAGCAGCCGGCCGGAGATGGTGCAGTGGCGGCAACGCCACTGGACGCCGGCAGGAACGCGCCTCCGGTGCTCTCGGGTGGCGACGGCACGGCCGGCACACGGGCGAGGCGGTAGAGGCGGCTGGAGGTGGCCGGCGGCACGGGAGAGAGAGGTGGAAGGCAGGGAGAGGCGGGGTGGCCACGGGGGAGCTCGGGAAGAGGCAAAAACGAGAGAACGCACAGAGGGGGTTCCATTTTATAGCGGAGGGAAGAGAGCCGGCCACGGGATAGGGCGGAACGGCACCGAGAATGGCGGCCGGGGATGGCACGGCTGTTCCGGGCAATTAATGGTGCTATTCAAGGGGGTAATTAGGGGGAAAGAGAGAGGAATCAATGGGGTTTAATTCCCCCTAATCAATTTTGTAATTAGCCATTTGAATCGAGCGGATTGGAGGGAGGAACGGCGCTAGGGTTCACAGGAGAGAGAGGAAGGAGGCCGGCGGCTGGAGGTCGGGGACGCCTGAAGGGCGGGACCCACGCGGAAGGCGCGCGGTCAACGCGCGTGCGCGGGAGGGCTGCGGCTCGGCTTGGGCCGGGGCAGGCCCAGGCGGGAGGAGGAGAGGAGGGAGCTGGGCCGAGGGGAGGGGAGGCCCGGGAGAGGAGGGAAAAGGGAGGGAGGAGAGAGGGACTTCAGCCGCGGGCTGAGGGAGAGAGAGAGAGGGGAAGACTTTGGGCTAGACTCGGCCCAAAGGAGGAAGGAGGATTATTTTTAGTTTTCTTTTTTTAAAAACTCTGATAATTGTTGTTGTTGCTTAATATTTATTTCCGGTGTTCTAAAAATTAAAGTAAAATTTGAGGGCTCCTTTTAGACCAAGGAGAATTTAACAAAAATTCTTCGGGCCACATTCGAATTTTTCTTGTACGCATTTTAATGTTTGCTAATTTCTTTTTAAATTTTAATTAATTCTATTATTCCTTTTAGAGAATGATTTTTATTTCGGGATGAATTTATCAGGACGTGACAGAAAGTAGGAGACAGGAGGCGCCCGGCGGGAGATGGGGGAGGGGAGAGGCGTGGCGACGGCGCCACAACCGGCATCGCGGCCTATGCGTCTGCAGCATAGGGAGCGCATCCGCCGCCACTCCTGCCGCCTCCGGATGACGACTTGGACTGCCCCGACGAGGCGCCTCCCGACGCCCTCGCCTTCCTCGTCGTGCCGCACGAGGTCCCTTCCGCGAGTTGAGGGCACGACAGGCAGAGAAAGCCAGTGTCTCTGCCATTGCCGTCACCGCGATCAGGTACCTCCTCGTCGACAAGGGCCTCGACGAGGACCTGCTAGTGTCGGTCAACTCTGGCAAGAGCTCGCCTACATGTGCGACGAGTACGACCACCTCAGGGCGACACGGCCATCCACGAGCTTCCAGGTGTTCGTCTCGACCATCGTTGCTGTCATTGGCATCCAGCAGCGGGACCGCCCACACCCACCCGTCGTCGTGCCCCCGGTGATGTGGCGCGCGTGGAGCGAGCTTGAGCTTGCTGGGCTCCTGTTAACGACCAAGTTTGGTAAATCATAAATTAGATTTGAAGTCAAAACCAAAGCGGATTTGGGAGGAAATCGTTATTCACGGAAACAGAGTGCGCATTGGCTATTGTCTGCATCGGCTGACACCGAATTGGATACGGGGAAGCCGATGTAGCCGATTTCGGCAAGATAATCATAGAATCATTGTCGGTATCGGTCGAAGTGTTGTACAATTATTGCCAAGTATGGATTGAGTCTGAAGAAGGCAATTGTATATATTAATTAGGATATTTTGGTAGTTTCCTTATAGATATTTTCAGTAAGAGTCTGCCTAAGGGACTTGTTCGTATTTTCAAGTTGTAATAGAAGTGGAGTCATCTCTGGCAAGGACATTCTATGTATTTTGGGTATAAATATGATCCGAGACCGTGTAAACAAAAAACATCAAGTTTAGTACACTCTCGGCGCATCGCCACCATTTACTTTTCTTTGTTTTTGATGAGTACTTGCTTTCGAGTTGGGCTGCATTAGTTTCGATCTCCGGCAAGAGGTAAAGCTTGTTATGGTGGCTTGTGTTCTTGGGACTAGTGCTTACATCGTTACGACACTCTAGTCCTGATTACACAAATCGTCGAGTTATCATGTATGCTTATCGACTTTTCTATGTGACATTGTCAGCCCGCCTCTATCATCAAAAACAGTCAACGGGACCTCATATCATCGTTGAATTAGATTATATAGGATACCTACCATCCCAAAAAGGCTCTCATTAACTTATTTAGATTTTGTGTTTCTCTTTATGCTTAATGTTAAATCAGTTGAGTTTGATCTATTAAGTAATATCTAGAACCATAATATATAGCTTGTTCCATGATAGCTAATAAGGATAGCATTGGGGTTTCAGCCGATCTTACATGGTTTAGTTGTCTTGTTTTCTTGATATACTGAATCTGCCTTTTATATTAGGATCTCACTTGGATAAAATATATTAAGCTCGATGTCAGTCTATTAGGCTATCCTAACACTGGATTGACTCTTGATTAGAATATTTGATATATATTGATATATTAGTATAAAGTAGTATCGGAGCACTAGTAGTTACACGTCAGATTTGCCTATCGACTATGCTGTGAATATATATAATCTTCGCTTTGAAGTATCTCTAAACTTGAGTGGTTTATAATGTCTCTCGGTATCCTGACCGATCTATCCTAATCACTTGGTTTAAACGTACTCTGAAGTGTAGATTACATATTATTGATATCTACAGCCCATAGAGCAGGTTTAACTCCTCCTTTGCTGCATACTTCGTTGCTGATCTGATCCATATCACATCGGCCTAGGATAAACGATACGTCATCGGCAACCCATCCGATCGGCTATCATTTACGGATTTAACTTTGTTTGCGATGTTTCTTGTTGGTTGTAGGATCAAACCAACTGGCACGCCCTGAACCCAAAAGTAAGATTTAGGACCTGCACTAAAGTATGCAAATCTCTAAGGCCAGTGTGTGTTTTTCGCATCGACAGCTCCCTACCACGCCACCGCCCATGCAGCAAGTACATAGCACGCAGGAGCTCGCCACCATGGGCACCACTCGCGATGCCCGCCCGCTCCGCTCCACATCCCCCATTGCCTCACTGTCCCCATCACCACACCTCTCCCCTCCCTCATTTCATGCCGGTTGCCCCACCTCTCCCCCTTTCCCTCCTCCCATCAGGGCAGCGACGGCGGAGCTTGGTCGGGATCACCAGCCGCCTCTTCCCTCTCTGAAATCGCTGAAGAGAAGAGGAGAAGAAAAGAGGAAAAGAGATGAGAGGAGAGAAGAAAGAAGAGATGTGGGTGTCACACTTTTTCTTTCCACTTATATTTGGGTCCCACAACTTTTTTATTTTTTTTCACTAACTACGATGCCACGTAAGCAAATGCAGAGATCCATACTACCATAGGACCAAAATTGCACGGTTTTATATAGGTTACGGGTGAAGATTTTGGTATAGGGGATCAGGGATATAATGCAAACTCGATGTAAAGTTGATGGACTACTGGTAAACTTATTCCTTTCTTTTATTTTCTATCGCCTCCCAGTATACCGAATGTCCCTCAACTTGACATCGAGTTACAAAATCGTCCCCCAACCGTAAAACCGATACAGCGCATCCTACAACTTACAAAACCAATGCAAACTAAGTTCCTTAGTGGTTTTGACCCCGATTTTATCCGACGTGACGACTAAGTCAGCGTGGGACCTACGTGGGCCTCACATGTCAGGATGCCACGTCAGCACGCCGGCCTATCTGTTCCTCTCCTTTCTCCCCTCTCTCTCTCTCACACACTCTTCTCTCTAGACTAGACAGGCCGGCCAGCCCGCGGTGGGGAGGAGGTCACCGGCGCGAGGAGGTCCGACGGCCAGCCGGCGATACGGCGGCGGCGACGCGGCAGGGCAGAGACACGGGACAGGGGAGGGCAGCGCCACGGCCGCAGCTGGTTCAAGCTGCCGATGCTGTCGTCGCAGCAGGCTTCGTATGTGAGCAAGGACCAACAGGGCGAAGAAGACGACGGCCACGACGAGGAGGTCCTCATCCCCGGGTTGCCGGCGAGGTTCACGTACGCGCGCGGAGCTTGAGGTTCACGAACTGTTCTCTCTATAAGAAAATCTAACAAGTCACTGTTAGATCTGGTACTGCCAATATATAAACACTCTTCAGCTTAGCTCACAAAAGGGCACATCCAATCCAAAAAGTCCAAATAGATGGAGTTCTTCAAGCCTTTGACGACAATGGCTGCTGACAGATTCTTGCACTTCGCCTCGCTCGTTTCCATGGTGGTCTTGGTACGTGCATTTTCTTTTCGGATCGTCTCTCTGCTCTGCTGTGACCTGTGAGTTGATCTGACCATGTTAATTGCATACGCGCGCGCAGGCCGCCGGATCGAGATCGCTGGACGGCATGGCAGCGCTGCCGCGCCGTGGCCAGCTGGTTGCCGGTGGGGACAACGACAAGAACGAGTGCGTGTACACGCTGTACGTGGAGACCGGGTGGATCTGGATGGCCGGCACGGACGCGGCGATTGGCGTGGAGCTCGCAGCGGTGGACAGCAGCGGCTTCGCTGTTGGGGACCTGGAGCGGTGGGGTAGGCTCATGGGCGCCGGGCACGACTAGTACGAGCGCGCCGCCGCCGCATCGCCTGCCGACCGTCGGACCTCCTTACGCCGGTGACCTCCTCCCCACCGCCAGCCGGCCTGCGTCCAGAGAGAAGAGTGTGAGAGAGAGAGGAGAAAAGGAGAGGAAGGGATATGCCGGCGTGCTGATGTGGCATCCTGACATGCGGGGCCAATGTGGATTCTACGCTGACTCAGCTACCACGTCAGAAAAAATCGGGGTGAAAACCGCTGAGGGAGCTAGTTTGCACAGGTTTTGTATGTTGGGAGATACGCTGTATGTGGTTTTACAGTTGAGGGACAATTCTTTAACTCGATAACAAGTTGAGGTACCTTCGGCGTACTTTTTCCAATTTTCCTCCTCTTCTTCCCTCGGCTAGGCGGCCCAACCAGCCAACCGGCCGATATCGCGGTCGAGCCCACCAGGCAGGACGCACGCGCCGATGCGCGTCGCCTGCTCCCACCCGCTGCTCGCGCAGCCCAATCGCGAGCCACGCCACGCCGCGGGCACCAGCACGCCAAGACAAAGCGAGTCGCGCTGTGCCAACTCGTGTGCCGCTCCGCTTCACACAATCCTTGAAACATGACCGGCAAGATCATCATGCCATCGTTTCATGCAACGCTCTGTACATCTCGATGCCCAACTGCCTACTCCGACTGAGCTGCAGCGACGCCACCGCACACAAAGACTTCATCGTCTTCTCGTACCGTTGCACAGCGCAACAAAGGGTTCACGTACTCGTGGCTGCAATTCGCGACGACCGCGCTTGACTTCCCGCGCGGTAACACATCGACGCCTCACGCACCGCCCAAGAAACCGCAGCACTACACTTAGGCAAGCCGTGTGCCATACCACCAAAACGATGGGCTCAGCAAGCAAGCAAGCCGGCCACCACCACCATCACCACCACCTCCAATGGCACCTCACGCGCGACGCATCGTGCGTGCCAGGAGGGGTCATCACCCCTTCACACCGCGCCGGGTCGCCACAACCGCAAATACGAGGGAATCAAAAGTACACGCCCTGTGTGCCTACACGGAGACTTACGTGCCGACGATATTATTTTGCGCGCATCGCAACTTCGCCTGTGCCCGTTTACCATGGGGGAATTTAACTATTTACCACTTTTAGGTTGGACAATTATCCAAATGCCCCTTTTAGGTTTGGACATAATTTTTTGCCACTTTTACGAGATGCCTTCTTAACTATTTGCCACTTTTGCTCACATGGCATGCCAACATGGCAATGGAAGGTAGAAACCAGTGTGGGTCACACTTGTCAGCCTCTCCTCTCTCTCCTTCTTCTCTCCCTCCGGTCCGATGTGGCGAAGGACGAGGCAGAGCGACGGCGCCGGCGGAGAACGAGGCAGAGCGGCGGCGGACGGGCTCCTCGCAGTCGCCGGCTAGGATGAGCCCCCGGCGAGATGCGCCGGTCGTCATGGGAGCGAAGACGGCAACGAGGTGGGAGCGTGTGACGGCGGCGTGGACGGGCAGTGGGGGCGAGCGGAGGAGGAGGCAGCAGCGCACAGCACCTGCGGTTGCAGACGAGGGCGGCGCAAATGAGGTCGGGCGGAGGGAGGCGGCAGAGAATGTCGTGGAGGGCATGGTTGGCGAGCACTGTGGTGGGGGAAATTTAACCGCTGCCACGCCTCCTCCTCCATCGGCGCCGCCGCCACGCCTCCTCCTCCGGTGGCGCTCCTCCGTCGGCGCCGCCGCTATGCCTCCTAGGCCGTCGCGAGGAGCCCATCCGCTGCCGCTATGCCTTCTCCTCCACCAGTGCCGCTGCTACTACTCCTTCTCCACCGACGCCGCCGTTCCGCCTTCTCCGTTTCCGCGAGAAGCCCGTCCACCGTCGCTACACCTCCTCTTCCGCCGCCGCCGCTGCTCGCCTCCGCGAGGAGCCTGTCCGCCGCCGCTCTGCTTCGACCTCCGCCGGCACCGCCGCTCTACCTCGTCCGCTGCCACATCGGACCGAAGGGAGAGAGGAAGGAGAGAGAGGAGAGGCTGACTAGTGGGTCCCACACCGGTTTCTACCCTCCGTTGCCATGTTGGCATGCCACGTGGGCAAAAGTGGCAAATAGTTAAGAAGTCATCTCGTAAAAGTGGCAAAAAATTATGTGTAAATCTAAAAGGAGTATTTGGATAATTGCCCAACCTAAAAATAGCAAATAGTTAAATTCCCCGTTTACCATGCGGTACCTAACGGACATGCCGAGCTCTCCCGACGATCCTTCACGCGCGCGACCAAAGCCGTGTACGCCGCTTCCTTCCATCGTCAATCAGCCCACGCGTGCACGTTGCCGCGCCCACACCCCCGTTGCTCCCGTGCCCATAATTAACCTGCTCGATCGACACCGTGTCCTTCGGCACAAGTGGCGCCACGTCGCGTCGCGTTTAAGTGATGACACGACTTATCTTCTTCTCCACTCCACGTTGGGACCACTACCACTGGTCAGTGACATACACGACTGAAGGCCGTGCTCGAGGGCTCGCCCATGAACGCCACGCCGCCACCACACCAGAACTCACCTTATAAATATATACCACCTAAAATATGAAGATTAATAGCTAAAAATACTTACATTTTTTATATGAAGATTCATAACTAAATATACTTACGTTTTAAGCTGTGTGTACAGATTTATAACTAAGTACTTATATTTTAGGACAAGGAGTACTTTGATACGAAGTATCAACAAAGACTTAGAAAAAAAAAAGAGACTAAAATCAAACAATAACATGACACCATATTTTTACACGCCTTATTTCACGACAGACTTTTAGGTGTGTTTAGTTTACATTAAAATTGGAACGATGTGACAGAAAAGTTGAAAATTTATGTGTAAGAAAAGTTTTGATGTGATGGAAAGTTACAAGTTTGAAAAAAAAGTTTGTAACTAAACTCGGCCAAAGTTGATTTTCTTCAGAGGACGAGTTTTCTCAGCTCCCTGACGAACTCCTCCACGAATCTCCTTTGCACGGCGTCATCCGTCAAGAACTCCCGCCACTTCCTCTCGTCGTCGTCCCCTCCACCGGCGTCGGCGACCGCCGCGTTCACCGCGTCACGCACCGCGTCATGGCCAAACCATCCGTCGCCATCTCGCCGCGCAACCTCGGTACCCACGCGGAGCTCGCGCGCGAGCAGCGCGGCGTTGAAGAACTGGTCGCTCTTCATCGGCAGCAGAACCAGCCGGCAGCCGGCGACGAGCCCCTCCACGACGGAGCTGAAACCGGCGTGGTTGACGTAGCAGCCGACGCTGCGGTGCCGCAGGATGTGCTGCTGCTGCACCCACCCCGAGTGGACGACACCCCTCCCCTTCACCCTCTCCTCGAACCCCGGCGCCATGCACTTCTTCACCTCCGCCTCGGCGTCCACGCTCCTAGGGAAGTTGAGCACGGCGACGAACGGCTGGCCGGTGGCCTCCAGTCCGAGGAGGAGCTCCGTCGCGGCGGCGGTTGGAAGGAACGTCTCGCTGCCGAAGGAGGCGAAGACGACGGCGTTGTCCGGGAAGGAGGAGAGCCATGTCTCCCACCGCTCCTCCAGCTCGCCATGCGGCGGCTCCGGCACGAGGGGACCCGTGACGAGAATGGGCTTGTCGTATTGCGTGGCGACGTATTCGATGTAGGGGCCTTCCATCTCGGCGCAGGTCTTGAAGACGAGGACGTCGCTGGCCTTGTCGCAGGCGGCGACGCGGTCGTACGCGCTGGGCATGCCGTGGAAGCTGGTGAACACGTAGGTGAAGTCGGCGGCCTGGTAGGTCGGCACGGTGGCCAGCGACGACGACGGCGGGAACCCCACGGGCGCCGTGGCGAGGTCGTCGACGGTCGGGCACGACGCCGCCCCGTGGTGGAGACGACGGCGCGCGGGGACCGTCAGGTACGCGCTGGTGACCGCGGTGAAGACGGAGAAGTGCGCCGCCCTAGCGCCGAGCTGCCTGGCGACGTCGGCGACCCACGGCGTGGCGAAGTCGAAGAGCACGACGTCCGGGCGGAGCCTCGCGAGCAGCGCCTCCACCTGAGGCCGTGTGCCGTCGAGGGCGAGCTTGAGCAGCTCGGCGCCGTCCGCGTCGACCTCCGCCGTGCTCTCGGCGCCCACGGGGAGCCCCGGCACGCGCGGCAGATGCAGCGCCGCGACGACGGCCGTGCCGTCCGCGGGCAGCATGGCCTCGACGCGGGCCACGTTGGCCGCCGCCGACAGGAACGTGACGCGCACCCCGCCGACGGCGCCGAGGCTACGGGCCAGCTGCGCGAACGGGCTGATGTGGCCGAAGGCAAGGAACGGGAACAGCGCGACGTGCATCGCTTCGTCGTCGGCCTCGACAACGGCGGCGGCCATGGCACTGCAGGCATCCACACGTATCATGCTTAGTTTGAGGATCGCTTTTCACTACGCAGCATTTTACACCCCATTGCCTTATATTAAGCCGTACTGCACAAGGTCAACCACTAAGTATTTCATTAATCATTATGCAAGTGTTTGCTTGGCAAATGAGATTAAGAATGCATCTATCAGTTTTTGTTAAACTTGTCTATCGAAATGAATTGAGCCCATCTTTTAAAAATCTTCTGCACTAGCTCGTGCCACTCGTGTCCAGGTCGCAAGCATGGATCTATCAGTTTTGGGTGAAATGATCTATTCAAGTAATTTACTTAAAAACTCGTTGTTGTATTATGTAATATTTAAAAACTAGCATAGTGGCCCGCGCAGATTGCGTTATATTTTCTCTCATATAATAGTATATATGTTTTCTCATTATATTATTCAAATATATTAAAATAAGAACATAATTTTAAATTTTGCAATAACTTTAGAAAACTACTAATGTATAATATTCATATTATATTTTATATACGTGTTAGTTACTAATTATTTTTAATATCAAATTTTAGTTATTTATAAATTATATATATTCCTATATGGACTATAGACTCATATTTTAATATTTTTTTAAGAGTAAAATGCACCAGCGGTCCTTAAACTTGTCGTGAGGTTTCACTTAGGTCCACGAACTTGCAAAGCGCACATCGAGATCTCTAAACTTGGTTTATTGTATCATCCCGGTCCAAATCCACGTTTAACCGTGGTCTTGCCTACGTGGCATGCCACGTGAACGATGATATGGATTTTTATATTTATTTTTTTCTCCCTTCTTCCTTCTTTTTTCACCACTGTGACAACCCCTCCCCTCGTGCCGCCTCTCACCACCAAGAAAAAAGAAGGAAGAAAGAGAGAAAAGAATGAAGAAGGGAGAAAAAAATAAAAAAAAATTCCATGTCATTGTCCACGTGACGTGCCACGTAGGCAAGACCACAGTCAAACGCGGCTTTGGACCGGGATGATACAATAAACCAAGTTTAGGGACCTCGATGTGCGTTTTACAAGTTAGTGAACCTAAGTGAAACCTCACGACAAGTTTAAGGACCGCTGGTGTATTTTACTCTTTTTTTAATTCCGAATTTTCTGTAAATTGTATTTCTATATAAACACTATGCTCTTCTTCCAATATTATTTATTTTTATTTCTGAATTTTCATATTATATTTTATATACGTGTTAGTTTTTAATTATCTTTAATATCAAATTTTATTTATTTGTAAATTATGTATATTCCTATATGGACTATAGACTCGTCTTTTAATATTTCTTTTTTTAATTCCGAATTTTCTGTAAATTGTATTCCTATATAGATCTATGCTCTTCTTCCAATATTATTTATTTTTATTTCTGAATTTTTATTATTTCTAATTGTATTTCTCCGTGGACTCTAAACTCATCTTTCAATATTATTTAATTTTTAATTTCGAATTTCAGTTACTTCTAAATTGTATTCCTATATTGACCTTAAACTCTTCTTCCCATGTTTTTCTTAATTTCAAATTTTAGTTATTTGTAAATTGTATTTTTATACGTACTCTAAACTCTACTTTTAATTTTATTATGTTTATTCTAAATTTTAGTTAGTTTTAAATTCCTATATAGACTCTATACTCTACTTTTAATATTCCTTATTTTTTAATTCCGAATTTCTATTTTTTTTCTTAATTGTATTTCTATATGGACTCTATACTCTACTTATAATATTCCTTTTTTTCAATTCCAAATTTCAGTTATTTCCTAATTGTATTTCTATATGGACTCTATACTCTACTTCTAATATTCCTTATTTTTAATTACGAATTTCAGTTATTTCCTAATTGTATTTCTATATGGACTCTAGTCTCCTCTTCTAATATTCCTTATTTTTTAATTCCGAATTTCAGTTATTTCCTAATTGTATTTTCTATATGGACTCTAGTCTCCTCTTCTAATATTGCTTATTTTTTAATTCCGAATTTCAAACTATTTCTAAATTGTATTTCTATATGAACTCTAGTCTACTCTTCTAATATTTCTTATTTTTTAATTTCGAATTTCAGCTATTTCTAAATTGTATTTCTATATGGACTCTGCCTTTTCTTTTTCTCCGATTAATGTGAGAATTTCTAGGCCATGAGAGCGAACGTGGAGACACATTTTTCTATTGCTTTAATTATATAATAGATTTATCATAGGATATGATCTGCCAATCGTCGTTAGTGGTCCCGAGCCGCCACCTACTCCTGGCTGCTTGGAGCAGAGGAGAGGAGAGGAGAGGGAGAGAGAGAGGAGAAACAAAGAGAGAAGAGGTGAGAGCAGTGGAAGAGAGAGAGGATGGGAGGTGAAAAAAAATGAAGTGGCCTAGAGGGAAAAGAGAAAGGAGGGGAGAAAAAAAATATGTGAAGGAGAGGGGTATTTTCGCACAGGGATCACTTAAGAGGCCGGCGAAAATAGATTCATTTTGGCATGTGGCCCATTAAGAGGCCCACTTGCAAAAATAGATTTTGGTATTAGTGTCTCTTAAAGAGCCGTATGCGAAAATAGAGATCGAATTTTTGCAGATGTGACCAATTAAGATCCATGTGTAACCTATAGGGGTCTTCGTACAGAAAAGTCGTTTTTGTAGTTCAATGATCATAGATAACAGTTATTTAAACTCATTTTATCTTAGTTTGAGCCTAAGTGATGAGAAGTTAGCAAATCTTGTATTTCAAGGATTGTTGGCACCTATCAAGGTCATATTATTATGTCACGAGTTTGACAGTATGGTTCATCTAATTGTTAACGACCAAATTTGGTAAGTTATGAACCAGGTTCGGCATTTGAATCGAAGTGGATTCGACAAAGAATTGGATTCGAAGATCATTAATCTAGATTATATAGCATATCTACCATCTCTTAGAGGTTTTGATCACCTTGTCTAGATCTTATATTTATCTTTATGCTTAATGCTGCATCCGATCTATAATTATAATATCTAGCTTGTTTTATAATTATTGAAGGAGATAGCATCGGAGTTTCAGCCGATCTTATCTGATTTAGCTATTTTACCTTATATGTTTGATTGTTATGCTAAATCTGCCCTTTATGTTAGGATCTTATTGCATTAGAGTATATTATACTTGTTGTTTAATATATTTTGCCTGTTTTGATATCTTAATACAGAGTGGTATCGTAGTATTAGCCGATACATGCTAGATTTATCTGATTGGCTATGCTATAAACGTTCGTATAATCGTTATCTTAATATATCTTTAGGCTTAAGTGATTTATACTGTCTCAACATGATGTTCGATTTATCCCAATCACTTAGTTTAAATATACATGGATAGAAGGATTATATGTCGCTGATACCTATAGCCGATTGAATAGATTTAGTTTTACATTGCTTCATTATTCGTTGCCGATCTAATGCCAATAACATCGGCTCAACGATTGACGATATGTCATCGGCTCCTAGCCGATCGGCTATCGTTTATGGATTTAACCTCGTTTTTCTTGTCTTTCTTTCTTGTTGATTGCATGATCAAATCAACTGGCATGCGTTTGAACCTAAATGCAAGATTTTGGACCTGCACATGAGTTAAGCAGATCTTCTAGGCTAGTGTGTGTTTTTCGCATCAACATTAATGCAGACAATATCAACTCACGAAAGCCGATTAAATGATGTAAAAGAAGAAAAAATTTAGAGTTATCAAAGTCAGCAAAATGAAAATAATTTTGAAGCATGAGACCTCATACTCCAAATTTGGGGTCATGAATTAACACCTAAATTTAGTAAGCCCAAAATTCATTATCGGTCTAGAATTAGTATCGGCCTTATGGTACTGGAATTGGCTGATGGAAATTATCAGTCGCTAGTAGTCAGGTTCTTAGTGGATTCTGTTAAGGAAATTAGTCAATTACAGAAAACTTTTCTGGAAGATGCCGAGTTCAAGAAAGATCGTCGGGTTGGATGAGAATTTGATGATAGCCAGAATAGCCATCATGGAAACAGTAAAAGGAGTGATTCGCTAGCCGCTCTAGTATTTCTTCAATAAAGGGCAGCGGGAAGTGGTCCTTCCTGGTAGCCTTGTTGAACTATCTATAGTCTATGCACATTCTCCACCCCATGACGGTATGTTGTGGAAATAACTTGTTTTTTTGAGTTTTCAACATCTGTCATACTTTCCTTTTTAGGAACAACCTGGACTGGGTTGACCCACTCACTATCTTACATGTAAGAGTTTTAAGACATCTTTTTTCATGACCTCTCTCACAGCATTATTTAGGTTTTGTTGTGGCTCTCAAGAGGACGCACAAGAATGATCTAAAGGAATATGATGAGTATAGAGGGCCAGACTAATCCCCTTAAGATCTTGAAGTGAGTAGCCTAGAATAGAGCGATGCGTTTCTAACACAGCTGTGAGTTTTGAGGTCTCGCCATCGAAAGCCTGACGCTTATGATGACGAGTGAATCCATAGCACCATACAAGAAGGCATAGCGAAGGCCTAAAGGAAGTGGTTTGAGCTCAACCGGAGGTCGTGAGGATGGATCAGCTTTGGGTAACTCGATCAGCTCTCCAGGATTGTCCTCCGATCCTCTTCAATAAATGGATTGTCATCATCTTCGACGAGGGATTCATTGGACTCGAAAGGAGAGATGGCCAACAATTCCTCAGTTGACTCGGAATTGGCAATGGGTTACGTCCAACAAATTTTCAATCGTAACATCGGGATGGAAAACACCATTTTCCCAAGTTTGATGTTGAGGACTCTTGTATGCGGCACATCAATGCGAAGTTTCTCTATGGGATGGCCCATGAGAAGATCGAAGTCAAAGACTTCTAAAACATGGAAGTCCAAGATAGCCTCGACATCATTGTGCCGGATTGGCATCTACAAAGAATCCCATAACCTTCGATGATAGGACCAGATAGGATCTGAAAGTGTTTTTTCTATTGGTGCCAATGGTTCATCCCCTAAGCAATTTAATGCAAAGATTGTAGACATAATGTTTGCGCCAATAGTTGGATTATAAAGAGTTTGCACCATGGCCTCTCTCATGAGACATGTAATAGTTAAGGATGGGGTGTTAATCCGAATTACTTCAGAAGAAAGCTCCACCTCCCTTAACCACTCATCCCTCATGATGGTAGTTAATTCCTGTTGCATCTCTTTGAACAGAATCTCCTTGAGTGGCATGGGAGAACTACGCAGGACCGGTGCACTCTTTTGGCATGAATAGTTTGAGGGGCTTCCATAATCTTCAAAAAGATCACCCTCAAACTGGAATGGAAATTCCGAAGGCTGAATTTCTACCTTCGGTTCCCGTGGTTCGGGTGATGATTCAACGGTCGAATCATGGGATGTAGAGGTTGTATTCTCCGATTTGGCCATCGGAGGTTCCTCATGCGTATCCTCGATTTCCAGGACAGTTTCACAACAAACGAAGGAGGTGTTCTCCATGATACAATCCAAGAGTTCCCTATCTTCTAACGTCATTTTGTGTGCAAACAAACCTCCGGCAAAAATATTGAGATACATGACAAACTCCTTGTCTAAGCCCAAGTGGAAATGTTACAAGAACCCGTGATCGGGTAGAGACAAGTTAGGGCCATCTTGAATTAACATGGAGAAACGAGCCCAGACTGCACCAATGGATTCCTTCTTATTCTTTTGAAAGCTGAGAACCTTCTTACATTAAGAGACTACAGTGGTTAATGGGAAGAAAACAAGGCAGAGCTAGCTTTTAATTCCTCCCATTCACCATGCAGTTTTCTCACAGTATGGACGTACCATTGCTTCATCCTCTCTATAATAGAGAAGAAAAACAATTTCCACTTTAAGATTTCTTATGTCATGTCCACTATTTTTAGGCACGAGAACAATTGCTCAAACTCATGTAGATGATGGTAGGTATTTCGCTTTCATGTCTTTAGAAGTTATTGTTCACGAACCATGGCTAAAAAGCTAGGATGAAGTTCATGGCCAAATGAACGGATAGGTCTTGAAGAAAAAGGTGGCTCACAGAACTCGCCCCATGGAGTAGTAATGTTTTGAATAGAAAGGTGCTCCATGGTAAGAATAGAAAGGAAGAAGAGATACGAGGATGACTCAGGTTCGGAGATGACACATCAACCGTTTCCCGGCAATAGCGCCAAAAATGCTTGTTGGTAATTGATACGGTCATTGATTAATCCGCAAGCGCATGGATATCGCTGTAGTACTTCACCACAGAGTATTCCAAGGTTATCGAATCACGGGGAACGTGTGTATATATGTAAGAACATAATTCTATCTAAGGGCAACAACTAATGGTAGGCTAAGGTTAAAGATGTTACCTATGGGTTAATTTACTATACTTGAGTTAAAGGTAAAACCCTGTTGATTGCTTTGGGCACCTGCTCTCCCCTAGTCTGCCAAGCTGAGTCCGACCTATGGCTCTATGATGTACCCGAACGTGGAGGGATACAAAGGACGAACCAGGCTATCACCACCTATCGCATACCTCACTTATTGTGGAGCATACAACAAACGAAGGTAACCGCTAACCTAGACACCACGTCTAAGTTATTGATTTCTACTCTAGCCTCATTTAGAAACTTCCTTCTTTATCCAGAGTCCTAGTATTATAGCACTTAATAAATCAACTAAGCGATGAGCCCACAACGGTGGGAATATATCTGATTCAAGCAAATAAATTAAATATCATAAGGAGATCTGGTATACTTACTTTATTGAAGGAAGCATCCGCCGAGGTACAAGCAAGAGAAAAAGACCGACAACTCTGGCGCTTCTCCTTAACTCCAGTGGAAGAATGTCAACAAACCCGACACTCCTCCTAAACATCCCGAAGTGAACTCCGATTTTTGGGACACTCTTTCCGGAGCTTCCTCTCACTCTCTACCTAATTCCACATACTAAAGTGATGCCTAAAATATGAAAGTGAGTTGTACTTCCCTTGAGTTGTATGTTTTCGAAGTGAGTTGAGCTCCTTCTTTTATAGCCTCCATATGACGGTTTGTGGAGGTCGGTGCACCCACAACCACCATTACCAACCAATAGGGGGTCACCACGTGCGAGCAGGTGAACATGGGGGTTAGCCTTGGTTCGGTCGAACAGGCATACCGCCTCTTGCCACAGACGCTCTCCACTCTATGACTGGTGGGCCCTGATGCCGGTTAGTAGTGGATTAGCTAAAATTCAGTCGATTTTGACTGACATGTGGGCCCGGCAATCCTTGTTCTTGTGTATAATTGGTCGGAGATACATTTTGTCGCATGGCGAGTGTATTTTCCTTCAGAAATCACCTGCATACTAATATTTACCAAGACTAGTGGAAAAGGTTAGTAAAAAAACACTATCACTAAGTTTGATATTATATTTTATATTCTTTTATGCAGAAGTTGACGGTGGAAGTTTGCACTTAACCACTGTCAACAACTACTAAGTCTAAGGACTTTGCCATAGTCTGGTGAGTTCAACTAGGTAATATCCACTTACAAGTTACAACCTGCTACATGGGGTGTTGACGATTGTTCAAGGCCAGCTGCAACAGATCGGCGAGGAGAACGATGACTACCACATCTAGATCGATGACGATTGATGCTGGTGCTGATGAAGTACAATGTTGGCATGTTGCTGTTGTGTGGACAACATGACGAAGAACAAGGCATGCCTAGGAGATCACGATCAATCCCCTAGGTAAGGCATGACGGCAACAAAGAAAAACATAAACGGGTGGTTGCCTCCGAGAGATCAGAACCATCCCAAGGGCGATGACGGCGGAAGCCTAAGCAGTGGCTGGCATAGGTCGCCTACTCTGATGCCATGTTGAATATTATAAGAAGAGATAGATGTATTGAAGATATTGGACACATTGTATCGTGCTTCGGAGGGCTAATATATATAGATTACATGGCTTGGATACATATCTCAGACACACACACACACACACACACACACACACACACACACACACACACACACACACACACACACACACACACACACACACACATATATATATATATATATAGATAGATAGAAACTAATCATATCTGACCATAACAACACAATACATTATGGTCATATCCATACACTCATTATGTCGGGCAAAGAAGATGAGCTGAGCTAGCCTTGTGTGTGTGTCATCTAAGCTATGCGTTGGGGGAAAATGGGAATGGGCTGGAGGGGAAAATAAGGGGGTGTTTGCCACAATGTTCTTTGCTATATTTTTTAGCCTTTGTATAGGAAAGGATAATTGATCAAATTTTTGTTTGGTACAGATGCATGCTGATCCAATGGTTTGTACCTGTAAATGACACGAAGTGAGTTGTACATATATAGGAAGAAAATATATCTTCATGTATGCTGGATTGCATGCGTGAAGCCCATCATAGATGACCTGTGTCGGGCCACAACTGAATCCCATCACCGATGAGGGGACAACGGTGACGGGCATGGCCGTGAAGCCCAATCTTCAACGGGATTATTTTCGGCCCAACACAGATGAATGCCCCTTTTATGGACCACTGGTCTCCGTCATAGATATCTATGTACTAGTGAGAGTTCTTAAGGTTTTCCAAAATATTACATGCAGCAAATGTTTTTCTTCATATCTCTGATGTTATCATTTACTCATGTTTTCATAGTTGACTTGATCTGATTGAGGAATATACATCAGAGAGTATTGCCTGAAATCCATCTAGCAAACATCTCGAGACACTCCTTAGGTTTATACTCTGGAGCAGTGTGCCCAGCACCCTGAAGTATTGGTGTACACATAAGTGAAGGTTATAAATCTCTTATTATTACCAGCAGTCACAAGTGTAAATATTTTGGACATGGAGATAATCTTGAAAAAGCAACTTGTCAATTTTTTTTGCAAAAGCTCAATAAGTACAATATTACAAAAATGTAAAAATACTAATAACTTGCATGTATGAAAAACACACCTTCACAGTTGCATATATCAGGTTATTATTCGCATAGCTTCTCGTGAATCTATAAAACAAAGTAACCATATTAGGCGAAGATATAGGCAATGGCCGCAATGCATATCGGCAGATGTCCCAAGCAGCTCGGATGTAGTGAATTGGAATATTTATGTTGCATAAAATAAGAGATAGCAATATCAACATGCGCCAAATATAGGAAAAGCATATATATATTGCCAGCGATGTTGGGAGTGAAATATTGGACGCTAATTCAAAGATGCTTTTGTGGTCTGAGGAAGACAAGGACTATCTACAACTTGTGAGCCGTTGGGAGAGAAATTTCGTCTTTTGAGGTGATATTGTTAGTAGTTTTCTTGTTTTTAGTCAAACCATAATTTTCTAATTCGCAGTAATTCGTCCGGTTTGAATTCTATAATAGTTGGTTGTAGCTTCATTGTAATAAAGAACAGAATAAATTCTATTGTATTAAAAAATAACTGTAAATACATATTCCACTCATCAGCCACTTTCCCAACTGGCCTTCATGATATGTCAGAACTTATTAGTTATAAGTATGATAATCTTCACATTTATTAATTTTTACGATTGTTAAGAAGCTATTGAAAGATACTCCCTTTGTTTCATATTGTAAGTTATTTTGGGAGTCAAACTTCATCAAGCTTGTTCAAATTTATAATGCGATGGAGTATAATTATTTCTAGTGCTAATATATTTGCACCTCATGGTAGGTTAACTGTAGAAACAATGGTATTTCCTTAACGGCTAACCAAAATCGTCTAATTTGTGGCATTGTGTTCTGTTTCGGAGGTACCAGTAGACACCAAATTAATACTAGAAATATTCGTGTTTTGCATGATATTTGCTTGGTAATGGGGTTATCATAATTTTTGACGTTAATTTGGGATTCCATCACATGATTTTTATGAAGGCACTGAATACACCAAAATTTACTCCAAACATATCTCATGCTACAAAATGCAGTAGCTCACACTAGAAAGTGCAATATATCCACTGAAATTATAATCACTCTTGAAATTGACTGTCAACGGAAATATTTACTTCTTACCCGGCAACTTGTCCAGCAGCATACCATGGTCGCCAATCATCAATTACAGAAAGGTTCAGAAATCTAATCCATGCTTGTGTACCAGTGAAGGGAACTTGACAATCATGATCACCGCTGCATCATTAATTAATTAAATGAAAAAAACAATCCATGGATTAGCTTGTTTGCTGTCGACGAGAAGAGCAGTTTGGTGGATTTGAACCGCAGGGTTGCAATCAAATTTAATATATAAAGGAACATGGCATGATGATGTAGCCGAGGATTCCATAATCTTATAAAATAATTTTAATTTCCATTATGTATATATAGTAGTTGAGTTCCACGTAAGTATATATAACTGCATGTATATTTTGTGAATAAGAGAAACGCAACAGTTCGGTATCAGAGGACTTAAGTATAAATGTTGATCAATTATTTGTTCGATATATAATTACCTGTATATCAATGCTCGGTATCCTTTTCTCATTAGCGTCAAATGATACTCCACTGTACTATACACATCTGCAATGTAATCTACATCGAAATTGCATCTTATCCACTCTCCAACTGTTCCCTGAATTGTATTGCAACTTCTATGAATTAAACTCGTATATATGCACAACTATCATGCAATGCAAATTAGTACTTTCCCTTGGACTTCACAGCGGATCGGCCGAGATTTCAGTTCAAAGAATTATTCTGATATAAAAGGATTCAAAGAATGACTAGCCTTTTGTAAGGACAATGCAGAATTTGTAATATGATAATCGGCCTAATTTCATGCGGAAAGCCACCCAAATTTACTGTAACCACAAAATATATGCACTTTGCTACTGGTGGATGGAAATCCAAATATATGTATACGTAGTACCATAGTAGAAATACCTTGTGCACACCAAGACTCTCCCTTACAGTTTTATCATTTGCCCATATTTGTAAAACCACATAAGAAGCTTTCTGCAGTAAATAAGCAAAATTAGACTTTCTTAGGTCAAGTGCTATCCAAGGAAAATGGGAAAACAGATAAATTGGAATTCAATGGGATGCAGTAATGTTGTATTGTTTTTATGCACTCAACTCTACACTTGAATTCAATAATGTCATCATTAGCAGCAGAAGCAGACTCCAGCATGAGCCTAATCATTCCATCTGTCGCTTCATTGTTATGGATCCCGGGGCTCCCGACGTCTTCACAAAATGGCTCAAGAACATGTAGCATGTTGATGTCCTTTGTGCACTGATTAATTTGTAAATTATGTAATTAGGCCACAGAAGACAGAACAGAGAACTATATAGATTAATTTCAATTAAATTATTGACAATTGTACACACACAAACAGTAGTACTGATACTCGCTATGTCCCAAAATGTACGACGCCGTCCACTTTTAACATAATATTTGACAGTTCATTTTATAAAAAATATATATAAAAATTTCATTGTTTTGTTTTGTTTTGACATGTCTTATTATCAAAAGAAACTATAATGTTATCTTATAATTTTACGTATTTATATTAAATTCTTTAAATAAGACGAATGGTAAAAAATTATATAAAAAATCAACAATGTTGTATATTTTGGAATGGACAGAGTACTCCCTCCGTCCCAAATTATAGGGCATCCCCTTTTTAAGAAAATTTAAATCGGTAGATTCATATTTTGAAGTTGCTAATTTCATATTTGTTGGGATTATAGAATGAAATAAAATATTGGTAAAAGTATGTTATTGAAGACCGTGTAAAAAAGTATAGTCTTTATAATTTGGGACAGAAGGAGTATAATTTTTCTTGGGATACTTACATCGTGTATAACTTTCATAGACTGCTCACATCGAGCGTTCCCTGGGGCATTGTATTTCCCTCTGCAGGTTTCCTTAGCATGCTGGTAGAAAATTTGTTTTTGTAGTCAATATATAAAATGTTAGAAATATTACAAGAAATTTTGCACGTACGCGATAACAAATAGTACCTTTTGCCCTGTTCGAATGTCATGAATGAATAAATATTTTGGGCAGCACACTTCGCAAGCTAAACGTTATGATTTTATAAAACAAATTCTATATATACACGGTTAGTAGAATATGTTTTTAAAAAACAACTTTTCAACTTTGTAATATAGTTAATTGACAGTTTCAGGTTATAAGATATTTTGACTTTAGTCAAAGTTAAACTGCTTCAAGTTGTATTACATTACCAATTAATTTTTATTAAATTAATAATTAAATATATTTTATAATAACTTTATCTTGGGTCGAAAAAATTATTATTTTTTTTATAAACTTGGTTAGTTTAATTTTAACCAAAGCCAAAACATTTTATAACACTGGTGGAGAAACCATCTTTCGTCGGTCGGCCGAATTCCACAATAGTCCCCGATACAAACAAAACCGGGGCTAAAGATGATCTTTAGTCCTAGTTAAAAAGGGTAACGGGCATATTTGATCTTTAGCCCCGGTTGGTAACTAAAGATCATCTTTAGTCCCGGTTCAAATGCTGCCAGCGCCTGTCAGGCCCCCCGGGATCTTTAGTCCCGGTTGGTGTTACTAACCTTCGTAACTTTAGTCCCGGTTGGTACCAACCGGGACTAAAGATCTCGGGGATCTTTAGCCCCGGTTGGTAACACCAACCGGGACTAAAGTCCGACCCCTATATATATGTCTTCTTTCTCCTCCAGCTGCCCGAGCAAGCTTCAAAATTTCTTTAAAAAAGAGGGGAGGTCATGCCAAAATTTCTAGTGAATTTATTTTGGTGATTACGTACAAATCGGAGGTGCCTAAAAGGTTTGTAACTTCATCCTCCAATATTTTTTTTGTCATGTTACATTTGCAACTATGTTTTGCACACTTTTTTGTCTCCAAAATTTAGTTGTAAGTTGATGAGGGAGAAAATTTGTGTGGGGAAGAAAGAATATATAGAAATTTAGTTGATTTGCTAAAGAAGGTTTTATAAAATAGTTGAGAAGGAAAACTATAGTGAAAGTTGTCACGTCCCAAAACGACTCTAAAATACATCCTCTAAATTATGCCTAGAATAATTAAAATCCGTGTGAAAGCCTCCAACAATTTAAAATATGCAAAGTTAAAAGTCAAATAAGGCTTGGAGGATTTTTGTATATTTCCTAAAAAGCCTAAAATGCGTAAATAAATTTTAGTGGAATTTTCAGAGCACAAATAATAATTATTAAGAAATAAACAAAGTTAAAATGATTTTATAAAAAGAAAAACTCTAAAAAGTCCCCTTTCCCTCCCTCTCCCTCTTGGGCCGGCTCGGCCCATCTCCCTCCCCCTCTCTCTCCTCTCCCCGCGGCCCATCCGGCCTCTCCCCGCGCGCGTGCCGCTGAAGGGCGGGCCCGCCCGCCACCCTCGCTGACGGGTGGGGCCCACCCGTCATCCCCTTCCTCCCGCCGCTCCCGCCGCTTCGCCCGCGCCCTAGCGCCGCCGCCGCCGCGAATCCCGCCGCCTCCCGCCGTCCCCGCGTGCAATAAAGAGGGGGAAATCACTCCCCGTGATCCCCTCTCCCTTTCCCCCCATTTTTTCCCTCTCTCTCTCGCGTTCAAACGGGCGGATTTGCCCCCGCAAATCTCGCCGGCGCCATTGATGACGGACGACCTCCCGCGCCAGTTTCCTCCCTTCCCCGGCCGCCCTCTCTCGCCCCGGCTCTATTTAAACCCTCCCCGCACCTCCTCCGTCCGTTTCCGCCTCTCGCCGCCCTTCCTCCTCGCCGGAATCGAGCTCGCGCCGTCGCTCTCTCTCTCCGCCGTCGCCGCCGAGCTCCGGTCCGCCGCCGTCGTCGCCCCCGGACCACCTCCCACCTTGGCGCCGCCTCCTTCGGCTTCGCCGTATCCTCGCCGACCTCGTCCATCCCTCCGTTTCGCTTGCCGACCGCCGGAACGCCTTCGACCCCTTCGACCCGAGCCACGCCGCCGCCTTCCTCCGCTCCGGCCGCCTTTTTCGTCGTCGCCGTCGACCTAGGGTGAGCCGTGGACCGCCGCCTCTTTTCCCCCTTCCCTTCCCCACTTTCGGCCGCCGCTCCGCCGTGCCTATGGCCGCCGCCGACGACCATAGGGGTGCGGGCGCCGCCTCCCGCCGGCTGCGCCGGCTTGGCCGCCCTCGGGCGCGCCGAGTGGCTGCCTTGTGGGGCCCGGCCGTCAGCCGCCCGCGCCCTTAGGTGCGGCTGACGCGTGGGACCCACGGCGCCGGCCGGTGCGAGCCCGGGTGCGCCCGGTCCACCGTGGACCGTTAGGCTGCCGCGTGGGCCCCACTCCCGTGGACATGGTCCGCGCGCCCCCTCCCCTCGGCTGACGCAATAAACCCTTTTAATATTAAAATTTAAATGAAGAAATTCACAAATATTCATTTAAAGAGCATATAAACTTCAAATGACCATAACTTGGCCATTTGAACTCAGAATTAGACCGTTCAAGTCTCTAATTTTTCCTTAAGAAGTCAAGAACCCATTTTTGTGCTTTGTTCCTGCTTGTTATATGGAGTTTATTAGAGTAAAAGCCTTTTCTTTTCCGTTGGTCGTGTAGACGCTGCAGCTTCGGAAGATCCGCTCTTCGTGGAGGTTGAAGCCGACGTTTGGGAAAGCGAGCAAGGCAAGTCACATCATCCTTGAACATATCGAATCCCAGTTTATAAAATTATTTTGATTTAAATTATTGCATTATCGCTTTATTTAAATTCCCGCGTTATCACTGTTTTATCTAGCCATGCCTATGTACCTTTGTTATGACCTTATTGTTGTTATTGTTATTATTTCCTTTTTCACCCTAGAATAAACAAAACCCCAACTAGTGGAAACTCTACTCATGGTACCACTAGTATGATTTTAGGTAGATGCTTCGCTGATTAATTAGGCAACATTAGGTGGTTTTACAACTCTAGACTTTGGGAACACTCTTATCACCTGGACACTATGGAATGGTTGGATTATTGTGGAATTGGATTCACACCTCCCCCTCTATTCAAAATCCCCAAAATGGTTTTAGGTTGGGCTCGGGGTGCATGGTTTTGATAGTAGCACCTCGGCCATATAAGGACCGGTCTTCGGGCCTCTGTTGCAAAGCACTACCGTACCTCCACATGTCTAGTGGGTAAGGCTTAGTTTGTGGCTCAGTCTGGTTATAAACAAAAGTACACGGATGGAGATGGATGAAGTCGGGGGTCGATGGACATCTCTAGGACAAATGAAGGCTACACAAGCTGCGGCCCGGTAGTCGAGATGTCATGGCACAGGGCCGGTGTCCTGCTGCTAGGGGCTCAGTCCTGCCTACCTGTCCCGGAGGTTCCGGCCGTAGGTGGGGTTGGGTCGGTACTCTTGTCTATGGCTAGGATGGGTTGGAAACTATGTCACGTCTTCCGTCCGTATACCGTGGTGGTATGTGGCACGTGGTTACACGTGAGGAAGATGTGTCTTGTGGGTAAAGATGTACACCTTTGATCAGAGTTTAATCTATTCGAATAGCCGCGCCCTCGGTTATGGGCAAGCCGAGCAATGTACCCAAGTTAGTGTTTAATTCTTAAAACCTGCTTAACAACTAAAATGTGGAATGGTTGGCCTGGGTTGGCTTGGGACGAGCTGGGACCCAGGGTCGGGTTGCCAGTTCGGTCTGAATCATCGTAGGCCTTGGGTTAAGGCAGGTTCGTGTGGGTTCACGGCCTTGATTAATAATATTGTATAGCAATGTACCCAACTACGGGGAAAGGGAACTCTCGGAAGGAAAGCAATAATGACGGTAGACAACAATTTATTCCGTAAAGCCCATTCCACGGTTCTGCAACAATCTTCATTGGTAGCTCCTTACATCGAGGAGCACTTGGCTCTAGTTCGCGCCAGGAACATCGGTAAGTCTGATGCATGGATTACACGGCATCACATTGATACTTTCCCCGCGTGGATACGACAACATCTCATGGGTAACGAGTCGATCAACCAACAACTTGCCTTCCTGGCGAGGGGACCGTCTGGGTCGATCGCGACATTCCAAGGATATGAGATCAATGGGTACACATTCTACACGAGAGCCCAAGACATGAAGAGCACGAACCAAAACCGCGCTATTCGTGTCGATGCCATGGGACACGATGGAACAACTAGCACGTATTACGGTGCCATCGAGGACATATGGGAACTTGACTATGGTCCTCTCAAGGTCCCTCTGTTCCGGTGCCAATGGGTTAGGTTGACTGGTGGAGGCGTAATGATTGATGACAGTGGGATGACAACGGTTGACCTTAACAAGGTTGGATACTCGGACGAACCTTTTGTCCTTGCCAATGATATAACGCAAGTCTTTTTCGTGAAGGACATGTCTAGCAAAGGAAAGAAGGGCAGAGGGCCTGACGAGCCTAAGCGTCACGTGGTTCTCCTAGGCAAAAGAAAAATCATCGAAGTTGAGGACAAGACTGACGAGGATTACGATCAGTTGGATGGGCAACCCCCTTTCACGGTGACGATTGACCCTAGCATCCTCCTATCAAATGAAGACACCCCTTACTCACGTAGCGATCACAAGGAGGGAACAATAGTGAGGAGAAAGTACGTGCGGTCAACTGTCACCGCCGATGTATTACCGTAATTATTATTGTGTACACGATGTAAACTATTTTGGATGTATTGATTATCCATATAAATCAATTGATGTATGGCATATGTTAATTACGCACGATTATTAGAGGTTTTAACAAGTTTAAATCATGTATATGCTAGTTATATGCGATACTTACAATTTTTAAAAGTTTTAAATCACGCAGGTGGCAATTTCATATGTTAATTAGAGTTTTTAACATTTAATTTACTATCATTCATATGCTAATTATAATTGACTAGAGAATTTTTAAAAGTTTCAAATCATGCATGTGGCATTTACATATGTTAATT